AGTCGAGTCAATCAGAAGTGGACTTTGACCAGGGTTTGACCTTGACTTTGACTTGGATCTGGGTTGACTCTTGTAAGGGTTATGAGAATGTAATAGTAATCAAGAAAGGTCGTTGTGTAGGGATTGAGGGGTAGAGACGAGTCGATTTCCGTGCCGAGGACTGTGCAGATACTATACGACATCGAGGTGAGTTACCTTCCAGTAGAAGTGGTTCTAAGGCACCAAGGCCGACCCACTAGTAGTTGATTATAGTTGAGATAATTGTCTTTGTGGTAAGTGTCTGGTTTGCTACTACTTGGTATGTTTATGTGTTAGCATGATATGTTATATGTGATAGTGGTAGGAGGGGAATAGTCCCCAAGTTCGGTTGTTAGGACCGAATGGTAGGTCGGGCACCCCAGATATGCCTCGCAATATGATTATGTTATGATATGTGTAGTAGTACTAGTAAGGGTGAAATAGTCCCCGGAATTCAGTTGTTAGGACCGACGGGTAGGTCAGCACCCCAGAATTGCTCGACACGGGTAGGTCAGCACCCCAGAATAGCTTGAAACGGGTAGGTCAGCACCCCAGAATGGCTTGACACGGGTAGGTCGGCACTCCAGAATGGTCGGACCGGGTAGGTCGTGCACCCCAGAATTGCCCGACAGTATGTATGCTATGTGATTGTATGGTATGTGGTATGATGGGGGAACTCACTAAGCTTTGTGCTTACAGTTTTAGTTTTGTTTCAGGTACCTCTTCAACAAAGGGGAAGGAGTCGGCGCGGTAGCTGTACATCACACACACATCAGTTTTCCGCATTTTGTGATTCATGGGATTGTACTCTGATTTTATTACTACTTGATGATATGATTTCTGAGACACGAATACTATGGTGTTATGGATTGTTATATTCTCGACTACGTTTTGATAAATGATTTTATAAGTTATGTAATTAAAATTGAAATTTTTGGCTTGAAAATTTGGGATGTTACATTGTGGGTTGAAAACCCTATGTACTCACCAGGTTTCCCAACCTGACCCAGTTAATTTATTTTTATCACAAGTATCGATGCGAAGATACATTACACTGAGAGATTAAAGGAGATGTAAATCATTAGTGTAAATGAATGTAAGGTCTGTTTATGCTTATGTTTATGTATTGATGATAACATCCCAATGTTTTAAAATAAATAAAATACATTTTTTCGGAAATGCTTTAATAATATATTTATCATATTTTTTGGGACAAATTCCAGAATAATATTCTTCAAAAAGGATACTCTGATTTTAAAATAAACATAAATAAAATTTTTAAAATGATCGTGAATTTGGGGATGTCACATCATCTCTAACCCTTAAAAACTGCAACAAAATTTGACAATAGCCACCATATTCTCCACATATTACCCACCCTATGAAGAATCTATCGAAACATAATTAAAATCAAAATCAATCGGGACACCCATGGTGGTGATTTTTCCAGATTTTTTAAGGTCATACCTGTTGGGGTTGCTTTCTTCATAGAGCTTCAACAAAAGAATATACCTAACTGACCATAGCTTTATTTGATTTGCCTAATTTCATGACAGAAAATTGAGTTTCGAGATTTCATCTGTACTAAGCCCTAATTTATACTCGATATGATGTAATGAACCATCAAAGTTCTTTAACAGGAGAGGGAAATCCATGGTGGTGATTTTACTAGATTTAGTAAACTTATATCTGCTTAAAGGCTGAACTAATACAAGTGTGTGTTTCCAGAAGAATCCATCAAAACAAAATCAAACCTAACCAACCTGAAACTCAAAATCAAAATCGATTTAGGAAGGATGGAGAAGGGGGGCAAGGGAATGGAGATAAGCTACTCAGTGAAACAATTGGGAAGGGCAGATGTCGGAGAATAAACCTTCCCCCGTTTTCTTCGATCTCCTCTTTCCCTCTCATCGGAAACATAAATTTTTGATGGTGTGTTCATGGTCTTGCTAGAAGGGTGTTCATCAGATGGAGTGTGGAGGTGGGAAAATATGATCTAGACACCAGAACCTTCCTCCATTCCATCGACCTGAACGCCAGAAACTACATCCATGTCTATCGGAAATCGTTAATCTAAATGTCGTCGGAATATTAGAGGATGAGGGTTTGATGTTTCATCGGAATACTAGAATGTGCGGGTGAGGTTTAATGAGAGAACAGATAAATAAGGGGAATGACCATTCTTTTTCTATATATAATTTATAATTAATAATACTAAATAAATCAAAAGTAATTGGAAAATAAATAAATAAAGGACATTATGGTCATTTTAGATTTAGTATGGACTAAATTCGCAACAAAATCACGTATTAGGGTTGGAGTGTGCAACTTTTAAACAAATGAGGGACGGTCCGAGTTAATTTTTGAAAATAAGAACTAAAAACGCTTTCTAACATATGCATGATGGACGATTGGTGTAATTTACCCTATGTAATAAGTTAAACAGGTTAGACTATGGGGTATGGAGATGAAGGGGTTGTGGGAGGAGGACGTGGCATGCAAGTATGCAATGAAGATGAGGAACACAACCCCGTTATGCTCATTTAGACTCCATTGCCGGAGAAACCAATTGTATGGTCAATCCATTTCAAGTGAATCCATGGGTTAAATACTTGAATTAAATATGAATATGTTTCAATTGAATACATTGGTCAAAGGGTCAAAGTGAATCAGTAATATCTTTTTCGAATCCATATGTGCATCCATTTTAGTTGAATCTGTAGATCAAGATGAATTTAAATGTGAGTTTATGATTCTATGTTACATATTGGGTCAAGATTCCATTAATTAAAACTATGGTCAAGATGAATTCAATGATCGATACATATTATGTATTGGGTCAATTTTTATTTTTTTAATGTTGCTTTTGTTACGACGAGAACAAAATGTAATGAAATAACGTGATGCTGAAATGACTGATAAAATATGTAGGGAGTGTGGTATCACATCCCATAGCCTTAAAGATCATGTTAATAATTTCTCCAACCCTTCCCAAAGTTTTATGCAAAATGTTATATGTTATAATGAGATTATAACTTTTTGAATCTTATTTAGAGACTAAATTTTTATTAAAGATTAAAGATTTTCTTTAAGTTAGCTCAATCCGATCTTATTATCTATTTTGACCTATACAAAAAGTTACAATGTTTTGGTCAATTTGATTTATGGACTAATTACTTAAAAAGAATTATATTTTTGTGTTTTTTCGTTTTAACAATTATATTTTATTTTTACCATTAAATCCGTAATATTTAAAAAAAAATTATTATTGTTACCCCCTTTAGCGGGTTTAATAGGTCGCTATCATAGTGTAACTTTCTTTTGTTAATTAAAACCACCCTTTAACATTTTTTTTTCTAATTTGGCCATAATAATAACTTTTTTTTTTATATATATTTTTGTTTTGTTATCATGTGGTGTTTTTTGTTTTTTTCTTTTGGTAAAAAGAGCAAGAGGATCAATGTGAAACGGAAACTAAACAAACAACTTGATGTTAAAGATGAAAAAGACAACGAATAATTGGAATCAGTTGAAAGACATGGCATCGCAACAAGTTTAAATTGTACCCTAAAATGTTCGGTTTTTTCGAAAATGATGAATCAGTGTTTGATATTAGGCAAAAAAACCGATACCCGAATAAACAGACTGACTCATTTCTAATTCGGGTAGACCGGTTTGGTTAATTGACTTCGGGTATGAAAAATTAGGTAATTGGTTAACCCGTATTTTTTTCCGTTCAAATATCGGGTATGCAAATTTAAATTATGGTATATGCCCGAATACCCGATTTATCGACAAGCAAACAAATACAAGCCTACTATATATATTGGTATGTTAGTAAATTTTACAAAGATGAACATGGGCAATTAAAGCAAACAAATAACCACAAAATTCATAGATGAGAATAACATTATGTTGAAATTTTGTGGTGGAAATGTACCGAACGCATATTTGTAACAAAAAAAAAGTTTGGCAGGTTAGCAAGGAAAAATGTAAAAAATGCATAATTTATATCATAAAAAATAAAGATATAAGAACTACATGTCTATATCTATATAGTTAATTATGATGGTTATTAACTTATTATCATAAGCGCAAACCAAAAACCCATTAGTATCATTTTCTGCAAATATGTTGATAGTAGTTAATAAACCACATATTCTACTTAGTAAAATATTAAGCTCCTTCAACTTATGTGCGGAAATCAACAAAAACAACCACCAAAACCGGTTCCGACCCTAAAAGTCCCCCAAAGTCGAGATATCAAAGCTGAAAGTTTTATATTCAATGAGTTACAGTCCCTCAAAGTCGTGATATCAATATGAAAATTTTCAAAGTTCAACCCACTAAGTAGTAAGTAATTACCAAAAAATTCCAGTTTTTTTGAGTTTTTGAGTTCTAAACCCATTTTATCTGGTTCCAACCTACCCACTTTGATGTTTCCGGGTTTTCCGGTTCTAGACCCACTTTACCCGGTACCGTACCCGGAACCGAATCGGAATCGGTTCCTATATACCGGTCCAGTTTCCGGTTCTACAAAAATCTCGTTAACCGGTTCCAGGTTTTACGGGTCCGGGTCCATCCGGTCCGGGTTTGGACTCACTTTCATCCCTAGTCAACGGAAAGTGAGGGTGGGCGTTGAGGGAAGGGGAGAAAAAAGGGGTTGGATTAAAAAAGATATGTTATATTAATAAAGACATATTACACTGGAAACATAAATGGGCATAATTGTCATTTCCCTTTGGAAGTCCACACATTATTGGAAATATCAGCATCCAATTTTTAAATGTGAGTTGGCACACGTATAGAAACAAACACTACTCTCCTCTCCTCTCCATGTCCAGAAGAATAATGTGAGTTGGCACGCGTGACGCGTCAATGCATGTTTGTTCATCCATTTGCCACTATGACATCCTTCTGCAACAAGGATGCTTCCTATATATTGCAAATTGTCAACCTAACCACACCTATATAAACGATCACTACTACTTCCCACAAACATCACATCTCTCTCTCTCTCTCTCTCTCTCATAAAAACAATAATGGGACCTTCCAACAATATTCTTTTCGCAGTCGCTCTTATAATTTCAATTCTAATAACAGCAGCATCAGCAGGAAGTTTTTACGATGATATGGACATCACTTTTGGGGGTGAACGTGCTAAAATTCTGAATGGAGGTCAGGATCTTTCACTTTCACTCGACCAATACTCTGGATCGGGTTTCCAGTCCAAACACGAGTACCTGTTTGGAAGGTTCGACATGCAACTCAAACTAGTCCCAGGCAATTCTGCTGGCACTGTCACCACATTCTACGTGAGTATAACATGCATTAATTATTGGTTGCATGCAATCTTGAATTTGATTATATATATATCTGAATTATATGTTCATCACTCACTTTTATTAATGTTATATATCGAATCTGATCATAATATATTTATTATTTAATCACATCAGTTGTCATCACAAGGTGCGGGTCACGATGAGATAGACTTCGAGTTCTTAGGCAACTCCACTGGAAACCCTTACACAATCCACACCAATGTGTATTCACAAGGGAAAGGAAACAAAGAACAGCAGTTCCACCTATGGTTTGACCCTACTGCAGCCTTCCACACCTACACCATCGTATGGAACAGTCTAAGAATTATGTAAGTCACGCATCCAACATAAACATTTGGTTCATGTTTTTCTACTGTTCCTAATTAAGCTCTTAATTTGTCTCTGCGCAGTTTCTTGATAGATAACATACCAGTAAGGGTGTTCAATAACAATGATGCTGCTGGAGTCCCATTTCCCAAGAGCCAACCCATGAGGGTGTATGCCAGCCTGTGGAACGCGGATGACTGGGCAACCCAAGGTGGGCGTGTGAAGACTGACTGGACTAATGCGCCTTTCACCGCGTCATACAGGAAATTTAATGCCAATGCCAAAAAAGTTGGTCTCAATTCAATGTCAAAAAGCTCAGAAAATGATCAGAGTCAAGCATGGAGTACCCAAGGACTTGATGCAGCAGGCCGAAACAGGATTCGATGGGTGCAAACAAAACACATGATCTACAACTACTGTAATGACCGCAAACGGTTTCCCAATGGCCTTTCCGAGGAATGCAAGCGCTCTAGATTCCTCTAGGCCTACTTAATATTTTGCAATTTTATTTTGATTGATTTCTGATCTTGATGATTCGTTATTCTTTGATTTATTGTAGTCATTCAAATTGAGATTATAAATAAATACACAAGTATAAGATTCCATTTGCACTTTAAGAACACATTCTATATACGGCCAGCTACAATATAATTGACAATACATTTTTCGTTCATTTCTAGTTAGTTCATTGGCTCAAAAAATCTTTAAATTAGTTATACACCCATTCAAAATTCTAAAACCTTTTTTTTCCTAGCTATGGCACTACGTACAAAAATTATTATATGTGGAGTAAACTACAAAAATGGATCTTATGGTGTGTCATTTTCTTTAGATTGTGTCTATTTTGCCAAAAAAAAAAGCCTTATATAGCAAGGTATGTTAAATTATAAAGGGCCCTACACCGTCACTGCACCACCCCACCATCAAGTTGTATTGAATTTAAAATGCTTTGTAGACTACTAGACAACTAATCTTGTAAACTCAACAATTAATCTAAGATAACTAAAATACATTAAACTTCATATAATTTAATGGACCAACACATCATTATTCTATCTTTTATATAACTCTATCATTCTTTTTTATACAATGCATTGAACTCTACAAAAGTTTAATAAAGTTTAATGGAATATTTATTTTAAACTTATAAAAGTTTCATTATACTCATTGAAGAGTTCAATGACTATTGAACTAGCCATTCCATCTCATTAAACTCTTCCATTAAACTATGCATTCGGGAACGTATTTATTGTTATACCATGTCCACACCAATGAGAAGCCTAGTCGTTGACCAGAAGTCGCCAAATCAAATTCATTCCCCTAGTAGTTGTATCAGTAGACGACATATATGATATCATTATCGAATGTGTGAAGAAGGGTGTGTGCACTCAGTTACCGAAACTAGTGAGGATTGAGAATATTAAGTTTCTATGGCAATACTCTGCTTATAAAAAATTAGTTATACGGTTGAAATAGAAAGATAGTGTGGAAAATGACAACCCAGATTCAAGTGTTTGTGCTAAAGATAAAGAGTTTCATGGAAGTTTGGATGTTTGTATGGTCTTGGCGGATTGTCCGAGAAATAATAGAGTGTATGAAAAAGATAAGATCAAAGATAAAAGAGCAACAGTTGGTGTGGATTGGTTGACTTCATCGATGATACATCAATGTTGTCGAATAAATAAGCATAAAGAGAGGGGGGGGGGGTGTCGTCCTTTATTTAAAGGGTGCTAATATATATACTTCCTTCACTCACATAAATTGTCAAATCATAAGAATACACAAGCATTATTCCACTCACAAAGGGGGAGGGGGTACATTAACCAATTTGGAGGGATACATATAGAATTTCCTTATTTAAAGGGATGCGGATGGGATTTAGGGTTGTCCGTTGATTTTGAAGGCCTTGTGCAAAGAGTAAAAACCCATGAAATTTCTAATTAGCGACAATTTAGCAAGGATCGACAAATTACGATAGCTTAGCGACATATTTACGACAAATAACGACAAATTAGCGACAAATTAGTGATAGATTGGCAACGGATTAAAATTTTGGGCCCTTCACGACACATGCATTACATACCGAACAGGCAGAGACCTCCTAGGGTTGGCTCCAGGATTTGTGTGGGGCTATATGTTATATTTATAAGGGAGGACGGAGTCGACAATCGGGTTGGGAATGAGTTGAGGCGGTACCGACGATACCGTTGGGTTGTGAATCCTTGATCGGCGGTTCTAGCGGGCTGGAGCCTTTAATCGCTTGCATCGGGTTGGTGAAGTTGTCTCTTTCTCTTCTCTTCTTACGTTGAATCGAAGGGTGAGGAAAACCCTAACTCGCTTGGAGGAAGAGAAGGTTGTTGCTATTGATTTAGGAACTTAAAACGTATTAATCAGAAGTGTTTTGTAATGCCCTAAAACTTTCTAGGATTATGCACTTGGGCTGAATATTAGGCTCAATAAAATAAAATAAATAATTTATCAAACTTCTATTGGGCTCAAGATATAAGATTAGAATTAGATAATTATATTGCAAACTTCTTTTGTCGCGGTCTAAATATATTTTTAATTAGTTGTCCTTATTTCATTATTTTATAGCATTTGAGTTTCAATCTACTAAATCTTTGACAAATGATTCCTTTGTCTCTAGTAATTTTTTATGTTTAATTGATTGTCCTTGTACCAAAATAATTTTGTATGTTTTTAAATTAGTTTGGTAGGTTTTTAATATTGTGTAAATTAGTTTTTTGTGATTTTTATTAGTTTATGTTTATTTTAAAATTAAAAATTGAGTGAGTTGAGTGGGTTGGGAAAGATACGGTTTTTGTGTGTTGTAAGTTGGAAAAGATTGAAAAAAGATGAGAGATAAACTTATGTGGAGTTGATGTGCAATGAGTTGAGTGGGTTGGGAGGGATGGATTCCTCCACGCTAAGACTACTCGGAGTGGGCAACGCCCACTCCCGTTATTGTGCCTCATAACACGTGATAACGCCAATGAACACCGCCCCACCCTCCCGTTATTACATGTTAAAGGCTTTCGCGTTACTTCCCGTTACCACCATCACATTTGGTAACGGCGTTTTTTTGTTTTTTAGCCTAGTAACTCGTGTGGGCGTTGCCCACACCCACCTCTCTAAGGCTGAAGGAAGTGGTAACACTCTTAGCATGTTGCAACATAGGATTTTTTTAGTTTTTTCAATGACATATAGGCTTAGCATGTCTAGCACAAAAAATGTAGGGAGTAGAAGTGTGACAATTTAATAGGTTTAATTTTGGAGAAAAAAATTTAAAATATATAAAAAAATACAAATCAATCAATCACAACACACATTCATACTTTCTCTCTCCTCTCTCCTCTCGTTACACCCATAACCTCTTTCTTAACACCCTCCTTAGCATAAGGTAGGGAGTGATGTAGCGTCTTTAGCACTTCCCTTAACACCTCCACTCCGTGTAGCCTAATAGGAAACTACAAACATGGTCTCTGATTTGGTGCTTTTTCAGTCAGATTGGTTTCAATGTGAGTTTCTTTTTTGGCATAACTTTATTGTGGTTTTCGTCATTACTCATTATAAAACTTATATGACTTCTTTTTCGTATTTTTGTCACATTAAATTTAATAGTTTTATGAGTTTGGTACTATATAAAAGGGCCAACCACCGCCCACCCTATAACACCAACATTTCAGGACATAAATTTTGGAGTTTATTAAATAAAATTCATAATTTCATATTTTAAATTTAATTAAATAAGTTCTATTAATTGAAAATGTTTATTGAAGTTTTAGAATTGAAGCTTAAGAGTTTATATTTAGGAATTGACATTATCAGAAATATAGTTGTGGTTTGCAACTTAGACTTAACATTATTAGCTTGTGTTAGACGTGTAAGAACAAGCAAGTATTGGGATCAAATTAGTAATTATGAAACATAAAAGGTTAAGAAAATATGTGTAAAGGTACAATTTTCAAAAAAAAAAAAAAAAAAAAAAGGAAGTTGAGGAGTTGTTGTCAAGTTGTGAAAGTCTTAGAAGTTTAAACTGTAGATTTGAGTACTTCTCTTCACTTGGACAATTTTGAGAGAAGAAAGGATAGGAAGCTTCATTTCAAAGACTATAAATCAGTTTTGAAGAACAATTGGTGAGACTTTCCAATTCTAGTATCATTTTCATTTGGTGAAACATCTAGGTAATCTCCTTGTTCATTTGAAACTTTTTGTACCGAGCTTTGAATCTCAACAATGGTGGATTATCAAAGTATAGACTAATTCTAGTTTTGCATGTCCAATCTATCGAATCAAATTTATACAAATAGTCACCTGGTGAAATTATGAAGTTTTAGATTGAGTTTGAAGCTCCATCAATGGTGGATTTACTCTTTTGATCCATTTTAGTTCAAAATTAATGAACAATGATATAATCTAGTGCTTCACATTTAGCTCATTGAAGAAATCCATTTAAGATGATCATTAAGAGGTTTTTGAGTTTGAAATGTAGTTGGTAATTATTATAAGCACCGCAATTTGACGTTAGAAGTTTTAAACCTTAAATGAAATTCCATTATAAATAATTAAATTTTAAAAATTAATTGGTTTAAGATTTAAAATAAAAAATTTTAATTTTAATTAATTATTAGGCGAAAGTTGAAGTTAAAAGCTTACGAAACAACACTTGACAAAAAAACAATCTCTGCAATATTTCTCTAAATTAAGTAAGGTGCCTTTCTTCTACATTTTATAAAAAAAATAAGAAAAAGAAAACTAACAAGGTTTCCCTCATTCTCAGTAGTCTCAGTCCTCAAGAGTTTTACATATATATATATATATATATATATATATATATATATATATATATATATATATATATATATATATATATATATATATATTAACCTTGTGAATTACCTGTTTTACCCTCTCCTCAATCAACATTCAATACATGATCCAAGCCACGGGTTTTCCACTTGGTATGGCAAATCGGCAACAAATTGCCACCTGTCCTTTTCTTCTTCATACAAAACAAGACTTTTAGTCGCATTTGATGTTTCGGTAGATCCTTCTAACAAACAAGTTAGACCCCAGATGCCCAACCGCTCCTACAAAAAAAAAAAAAAAATTGTACCAAACTTGCAATTTTAAGTAAAGCACAGGGACCAAAATTGTAATTTAGTGTATGCTAAAAAAGTTACCACAGAGAATTCCTAAGCCGAGGCAAAACATGGCTGTATATCCAAAGTAGAAGCTGGTTTGGAAGAAGCCTGACATTTTGGTCTTGACATAATAATAATATATTGAATATAAATACACGTAAATAGCTGTAGAAGCTGCTGAGAAAAACGAAGTCCATTGCCAGTAGTAATTCTCAGCATTCAGCAAGAAATACGTCCCCACAATTGTAACACAAACCGTAACAATAATAAGAATTATAAAAACCAGCAGCATAAACCCGTACACATAGTACACCTGTCCAATTTTCAAATTTAATTAAAAAAAAAAAAAATCACAATTCATATGTTATGTTAAAAATAGTATTATATACCTTGTAATTCCAGAAGGATGTGAAGACGAAATACATCTCAATGAAAATAGATCCAAAAGGAAGAAGTCCTCCCATGATTGAGACAACAGAAGGCGTGAGGTACCATTTCTTTTCGGGAATTGGGCGAGGGATTGTTTTGACGCGACACGGGTTATTGGGGGCCCCACTCCAGTTCCTTCCAACAACCGTTCCAAGAAGGGCAAGAGGGAAAGAGATAAATGCCCAAATGACGAAAACGACCACCATTGTTCCAAATGGAATTGCAGCTAAGGACCCGTAAAATATTGCAATCGTGTTTAAAACGAAACCAATCCCGAAGCATAGAAATGGAAATAGCGAAGCTGTCAAAATCATCGACTTTATCCAATTCTTCCCTGTTCATTTAAATAAAACAAATTAGCACATTATAACAAATAAGGTAAAGGTAAAGGTACATACCACCATTGCGTGAATACATGCCACCACTCACGTAGCCGGAAACAAAAGAGGTGAGAGCATAACAAACTATAAATGTAGTCACAATTGCTCCTCTCCTAATAAAAATAAACAAAAATATTACAACTTAACAAATTGATATATTCAAAATGTGATAATAGGATCAACATACAACATACCCGACATACAACATGCCAATAATTGCAAGCAAGATGACAAGAAGGATCAATAGTGCGAATTGGGCACCTGTCCCCACAACAGCTGACAGCAACACCAAACTGCGAGGTGGGCGAAAAACATCCCCATGAACAAGTTTCCAACCAGATTCTTCACTTACATCTCTTTCCTGAATTATTATTATTATTATTATTATTATTATTATTATGAAAATGTGATTAAATAGATCATTAATTAATTCACTAGAATTTAGTTTAAAAATACCAGAGTTTCAAGATCATCATCTTCGCGTGCATATTTGGCATAGTCGTTTCTAAGGGTACGCATCAGTATCATTGAAACCAATCCAGTAAGGAAAATAACCATCATAAATGAATTGAATATGGAGAACCAATGAATCTGTGTATTATAACAAAATTAATAAACAAATACAGACCAAAATTCATATACAATCTCAACAATTTTAATTTATTATGTTTTCAGATGAGATTATTTTTTTTATTTCTTAATAATGTTAAATTGAATAAAACTGTTTATAAATAACAAAATTAATAAAGTAACTGGATTGGATCTCTTGATATATGTTAACTAACCATTGGATGGTTTATTTGTCTTTTTAGTTTATTATGAATGGTTTAGTTTGTTTTGGGATGAAGCTATAACTATATTTCTTAATAATCTTAAATAAAATAAACAAAATATCTTTTTAATATAAAGGTTGGATTAGTTTAGAGTGAAAATAAAGTACAAAAGTTGGAGTTGATGGTTGTATATGTGGATGAGAGAGAAAATAGTATTAATAGTTTGTTTTGGAATGAACTAATTTTTTTATTTTTATATTTCTTAATAATGTAAAATGAAATAACATTTGTTTATAAATAGTAATTCTTTTAATACAAGGTTGGAATGCAAATGAAGCATAAAAAAGTTTGAATTGGATTGGGATTAAAGGTTAAGTATGAGAGAGGGAATATTTTTTAATAAAAAATTGGATGGTTTAGTTTGCTTTGCTTTTTTACAACCTTCTAATGAACATCTAATTAAATCTCAAGTACTTATAACATAAGCTAAGTTTAAAATCAAATAAACTTTAGTATGAATATATATATATATATATATATATATATATATATATGAAATTTACCTGATGCTCAAAAAAATGGTAATCTAGGTAAACATCAAAACGGCGACCAAATGTGATGTTAGTTTCACTCCATTTGACTGAATATGTCATGTCTAATTTTCTACCAACTTCTAAGGCTTTTGGATTTTCTTGAGTCAGATTAACATGAATGATCTGCAAAAGAAAGAAATCCAAGTATAAAAAACAAAATGGTGATAATGAGATCCATGATACAAGATATTAAAATACAGACCTGATCTTTGTTGTATCTTATTGTAATGTTTTTATGTGTGAAAAGCATATACTTGTTGTCATTATTCCTATCAGAATGTAGCTCCCCAACAAAACCTATAAGATAGTAAAAAATGGCATTATTATAAATATAAAAGATGGGGGAAAAAAAAGTTTAAGAGAGTTGGATGAATACATACCCCACAGTGGTAGATCATCTGAGTTCATGTTCAAACAAGAAAAAATGAGGTCAGGAGAAATACATTGAAAAGTAAAAACTTATAACAAGAAAATTGTTGTTATTGCAACAAAGCTTTATCATTTGGAAGAAAAATCAGAAATAACTTTAGGTCATGAAAATCAGATTTCTAAGATTTTGACCAAGATTAAGGTTTTTATTGTACTAAATGAATCTTTCCATTTATATGGTTCGAAAAGAAATGATTAGAAAAAGATGTGAGTCATGTGACCATGGGTCACATTCACTCACAAAACATATTACATATTACATAATACATAGTACATACCCATGAAAAATTCAAACCAATAATTATGCTCAATGGCATGTGTAAACTGCAAGACCTTTGGTTCATCAAGTTCAAGCTCACAAATAGTAGTCTTTTCCACATTCTCTGTCAAAATATAAAGAATATATTTGTTATGTAAGCATAAACTCTTAGCTACAAATGCTAATCATACTAGAATTATATAAGGAGACCTGCATACTTTGAAACTTGACATCAATTTGACTATCAATCAGTTCATTTCCACCCAATACTTCACCCAAACCACCCCATTTGTGCCCAGCATGACCAGGTGGACGACAAAAAGGAAGGCTGTAATAATTATAAGTCTCTTGTGGATTATTATAAGGCCCAACTTTATTCACCCAAAGGTCAACAGTGTCATCTGGTTGATACTGCAAAATAAAAGAACACAAATGTTAAAGCTTGTCTCTTTTAACTTAAACTCCCAGATAACACCTCACATGCAAACTGCAAACTGACTTAACATATATCATATATCAATGATTCAATGGAAGAATTGCTTATGTAACTAAGCCAAGTAACTGAGACAGATGTGATCAAATGCATGGATGACATATATTGTGATGTAAAATATATTCATTAATTCACAAAATCTCCATTGAGATGACAAGTACTCTCTTCCTGCATTTCATTTTCCATCAATTCCCAACAAGATAGATTAAAACATTCAGCTGCAAGATTCAATAAAATCTATCCACCTACAGCTTCCCACTGCATCGCATTTACCCCCTAATTAACTGTCTACATATGAATCGTATAGCAAATCTCATGCCAAAATCCTTGGTATTACCATGAACAAAGATCGGATTTCACATTATCACCCAGCTAAGACTTCCCAGCCAACAACATTACTGGATCCAAAATATCGTTAGGCTTGTAGCTAGATAAGCATGTGTATAGTGTATGTGTGTGCACTGTAACGCAATGTCAGATACTTACACAAGAAACACGGATGTTACTACAGACGTAAACCCTAACACAAATAGAAAACTCAATTCTAGAGCTAGATTTCCTCACAAACTAAACAAATGCCCGTACCTAGATCTAACGAGAATTAGCAAATACTGACATTCGAGACCAAAGATCTAAAGACTAAATGTCCACAGCCGAAATAAAGGATAATCAGGTAGAACCGTTACATAACCTTGTGATCATAGTCGGAAGCGAACACCGGCGATGAAATGAGGAGGAACGAAGCGATGAACACTGTGACGAAAGTGAGGCCGGAGGAGGAATGGACGGTGGACCACATCGGGATCGCCGGCGAATGGATTTGGATCTAACGGCAATTGCTCAGAAAGAGGGGAATATTATGGGCAATTGACGTTCTTTCAATGTCCGATCCGTGTAAAGGTTCCACTCTGTTTTGCTTAATATTTGATCTTTTTGCGACTTTGCGAACAAGATACGTACTGCTCTGTGTATTTTAATCCTCTAAAATCACACATAATCAGCGAGATTACAAAAAGTAATATATTATTCTAATTTTGGAGTTTGTAATAGAACTAGTTGCCCTCTGCCGAGTGTAACCATTATCTTTTATAAATTGAATTTTAATGATTATTTTGATAAAAATTATGTATTACTGTATTTGTTGATAAATAAATTTACACGATCAGTATCACCACCGACTAACTTTAATTTATATCGGCGAATGAAAACGTATTATGTGACCAAACTCATATATAGAAAAATATACATAAAAATAAGCAACAAAACATATCGAATTTATACCGACACATATATGGAAAAAAAACAAGTCGGTTATTTTTAAAAAAAAAAGTTAATGAACGAAAATTATATATTTATGCGGAAATGTTGATTACCTCAAATTTATACCAACACGTAAATAAAAATAAGCACATGATAAATTAGTTTTTTTAAATTGGCGAACGAAAGTTATTAAGAAAAACTAAAAAATCAGATTATATATATTATGGGGATAAACATGAAACTTTAGAAAGTCGAGGGGGTGAAAATGACATTTTACAAAGTTCAAAGCTGAGGGGTCGAAGTGACATTTTACAAAGTTGATGGATAGTAATTGTCAATGGATGGGGTAAACACTAAAGTTTAGAAAGTCGAGAGGTGAAAGTTATTTTACAAAGTTCAAAGTTAAGTGGATCAAAATGACATTTTACAAAGTTGAGGATGCCAACTATAGGAAAATCAGATTATATATACTACGATGATAAACACGAAAGTTTAGAAAATGAAAGAGGTGAAAATTATGTTTTAGAAAGTTCAAAGTTGAGGGATGAAAGTGATATTTTACCAAGTAGATAGGTGGAAAGTATCATTTTACAAAGTAGATGGGTGGAAAATATCATTCTACAAAGTAGAGGGATGGAAATGTAACATCATGTTTTCGGGGCTATAAGTTTTGAGTTTTTCGAGCAAAATAAAATTTATAACGAAAGCAGAAGATTAAGAATAATAATAAAATTTAATATAGTTTTAGTGTCGGGGGAATACTTTCAAAGATAAGGGGTCAAATGTGACAAACTAGTAAGTTTTGTGTTTGGCTTAGGAAGTTGACCCATTGAGATGGTTTAGGACATTATAAATCACATTATGGATGGATAGGACTTGTGTGGCAAACTTCCTAAGTTGAGTACCAACTTTTTAGAGTTATGGGTCATATTTGTCAAAAACATAAAACTAGGGTGGAGAGTGAAAAATCCGAGAAAAAAAAAGCTTCATTCTTTAGATCGGTTAAGATAAGGGAAGGGTTGTGGAATGACAATTTCTTCTTGAGCAAGCCCTAGGATCCGATCCAAAGCTCTTTTGGTTCATTTGGTGCAAGTTGTGAAGGAAATCAAGAGTTTTAAGGCATATCTTCTTCCCTTTGTTGTAGAGACCTGAAATATGAAGCTAAAAATCTGATTTTAACTCATATGAGGGCTAGAGTTTCATTTTCTAACAATATTGTGTTGGTTAGTATGATTACTAGCTTAAATCCAACATCCATTGGTGGATTTGGAATTCAAATGGGGATTTCTTCATAATCCCTAGTTTCCAATGATTGTGATGTTGATGTTAATCTACTCCTTATGAGATTCCATGACCACTGAAATAGTTTTGATGCAAATTTTCCAAGGAAAACACAACTCAAAGCAATGGTAGAATCAATAACATAGAAAGTGTAGTTTGGGAATAATTATTTGGATTTATGAAATCTTATGGTAATTAATGATATTACATAACACCCTTTATTTTTCGGAACCATATATATATATATATATATATATATATATATATATATATATATATATATATATATATATGGTTCCGAAAAATAAAGGGTGTTATGTAATATCATTAATTACCATAAGATTTCATAAATCCAAATAATTATATATATATTAATTATCATTGGTGTTTAGTTTAAGAAATGTAAATTAATTTACATACATGAATTTAATATTTTAAAATTTTTATTTTGCTCCAAATTGAATTTCTTAATTATTTTCCTTAATTAAAATATTCAAACTCTTGGCAAGTATTAATGAATTATTTATGCATAATTGATATGTACAAAAAGCTTTGTAACTTATACCTCTTAAAACTCAAAATATGATTAATATGCTTTATAATTGTAACGTTCGGTTCCTGGTATGTATTTTAAATCAAATTATTCATTTTTGTATTGAAACTTGACGAGTTGGAAGCCCCAAACTCGTCGAGTAGGAATGAAATTCGGACGCAGGATTTAAAGTCTACTCGACGAGTTGAGAGCCTCAACTCGACAAGTAGGGCTGCCAGAATGAAACCCTAATTTTCAGGGTTTAGTACCCTATTTAAACACCTTAACCTCCAAAGGCTGGCCTCATTTGCAGCCTCCATCGTCCCAAACCCTAGCCACGAAACCCTAATACACTTTTGAGAGTTTTGAGCCATTTTTGGTGCATTCTTGTGGTTTTAAAGAAGAAGAGACTTGAAGAAGGAACAAGGAAGTGTTGGAGAAGAATAGATCTAGAACTCTAGCTTCATTTATGGTTCATCAGATGTATAAAGCTCCTATCTTGTCTATAGAATGCTTAGATCTCTTCATCTTCATTTTTATTGAGTTTTTGGTCCAAGTAGCATGGTCCTTGGGAAATGGACGTCCCAAGTGATTATACTTCCAGATCTAGGACCTTGGAGGGCCTTCATGGCATAAAGGTGCAAACTTTATGGCCATTGAAGCCCCATGCAAGCTTTAAGGTGTCATTTTGGCCTTTTAAGCTCCAAAAGGCCATGCATGGAGGGAAAGTCAGAGACTTTACGTGTTCATAAAGTGTCTAGGGTATAGATCTCAGTTTTCATGCTTTAGTTTGAAGTATCATGGCTTTTGGATCACAATCTAGGTCTTAAAGAATTAGGGTTTGAGTTAAACCCTTTAAGGAAGGCTATTAACGGGTAAAGTTTCCAACTTTACCCTTAAAATGACATTTTCAGTATGTAGATGAAGTATGGGGCTTAGATCTGAATGATAAGAGCTTAATCTATTAAGATGGATCAACAGACTGAAGAACTCGTCGAGTCCATAGAGGAACTCGACGAGTTAGGTCGAATTGTCCCGAGTCTGTAAAGGGAAAAACTCGACGAGTTCAAGGATGACTCGACGAGTTGACTGAGGAAGTCTCGATTCTGTGGATAGGAGGAACTCGACGAGTTGTGAAAGAACTCGACGAGTTGGATCGCGAATTCCAGGGTTTTATGGATTATGGAACTCGGCGAGTTGATGGCCAACTCGGCGAGTTGAGTCAACCCGGAAGATTGACTTTGACCAGAGTGTTGACTTTCACCTTGACTTTGACCAAAGTTGACCCTTAAGGGGTCATGAGTACGGAAGGATAAATAAAGGAAATGTTTATGTGTAGGAGTCTGAGAGGGGTTGATTTCAGAGTAGGAGTTTTTGCAGCTATTCCTAGTTATCGAGGTGAGTTACCTTCCAGTAGAAGTGGGTCGAAGGCACCAATGTTGTAATGCTCGGTTCCTGGAATGTACTTTTGAAGCAGTTCATTCATTTTTGCAGAGGGACTCAACGAGTTGGAGACCCCAAACTCGTCGAATAGAAGTGGGAATTTGGACGCGGGTTAAGAAACCTACTCGACGAGTTGGGGACCCCCAACTCGACGAGTAGGACTGCCAGAGTGAAACCCTAATTTTCAGGGTTTGCACCCTATTTAAGGACCTTAACACCTCCTTGCAGCCTCCCTCATCGCCCCCTCCGTCCAGTAAACCCTAATTCGTGAGCTTGAGCCTCTTGAGTGTGTAGAAGTGAAAAGAGAGTAATTCCTTGGTGATTTCTTGAAGGAGTTGAAGTTGAAGGTGCTTGGTTGAAGGAAGAAGCTTTGGATCCAGGGGTTTCTCTATTAAGGCAGCCATATTAAGGTATAAAGTCTATACCTTGACGATTCATTTGCTAGATCTTTCCATGGAGGAGTTTAGGGCTTTTAGTAGTTTGTTGTGGAACCATTAATGGATGCAAGCATGTTTTGGGCTTATGACTTCAGATCTGATCGTCCATGGCCTTATGAGACTCAAAGTTTCCAACTTTATTGAGTCTTGGCCCTTCTCCATGCCTTAGATCTCTTTTGGAGCTTAGTTTTGGTGTTTTAGCTTCTTGACACCATGCATGGACGTAAAGTTAGCAACTTTACGTGGTATTCCAGCCTTAGGGGACCAGATCTATGGTTTGGAAGTGTTGAACTCAATGAAAAGCGACTTAATGGATTAAGACAAAGGGGACTCAACGAGTTGTTCATACGACTCGACGTGTTGGGTCGTGGCCCCCAACCTTTTCTGTTACTGAGCGAACTCATTGAGTCTAGGAGATGACTCAGTGAGTTAGCCATGGTTTTGAGTTTGGAAGAGTTGAGGACTCGATGAGTCCAAGGAAGGACTCGACGAGTTCAAACGAAAAGTCTCGATTCTGTTATAGAGAGGAACTCGTCGAGTTGTGGAAGAACTCGACGAGTTGGATCGCGATTCAGGGTTCCTGATTCATGGAGCTCGACGAGTTGATGGACCAGCTCAGCGAGTTGAGTCAACCAGAATGTTGACTTTGACGTGGACTTTGACCAAGGTTAACTCTTGAAAGGTTATGAAGTACGAAATTGTTACACCCCCAAACCAGAATGGTGGAAACGTTCGGGGGCGGAGGACGTCATGTTTAGTATCACAATACATGCATCATAGTAATCAAAGTAATAAACAACCATTTCATTAGAAGAAAGTGTTTACAAAGTATATGTTTCACATAAAATAGATTACACAAGTAAATGACAGAACAAGACATGAAGCTACTATGTTCCATCTTCTGAATCCAACATATGTACCTGTCTACTAGTTACCTGAGAATACAAGTTATTTTGAAAGAGTAGATCAGCATTTAAGCTGGTGAGTTCATAAGTATTTAAGTGATGTATTAGTAAGTTGAAAGCTCTTTTAGAAAAGTTCGCCT